AAGCGAAGCAGCTGGTGTTCACACTGCACGAAGCGAAGCGGAACTTTTTTCACGGTTTCTGGTCTAAATGAAAAAAGTGCGATTTCATAATCTTAGCTGCTTAAGCGGAGGGTCACAAATCAAAAATCTGATATCTGAACAATAAGTTGTATGAGAGGAATATTTTGTAGTCGTCCGATCTTTCCAGTTTCGACAAATGATTAATGAATTATAAAAAGATATCTTGAAAACTGGGGGACACCGGACATGGTTAAATCAACTCAGCTCATCGCTCTGAACCTTTTTTTTTTTTAATAATTTTTAATGAGCCTGTCTCTGCTGCTTCTGGTACTTACAAAAATCGGACCAAAGTTATAATACATATGTACCATTTTATGTTCATGAAAGGCATAATTAAATGTCAAAATTAAGACTTCAAAAGGCAATCGATTCGTGAGAATTTAAGCTCTCCAGAAATTTGCCGAAAATTGAAATGTGTGTCAAAAAAAAAAAAGAGAAAAGAGAAATTCATTACGCAGATAATAGCAAAGGCAGCATATGAATCTGTGTAAGTACACAAAAAATAAATAAATTATAAAAAAATTATTGAGAAGAACTACCAAAATATAATGAATTTTTTTGTAATTAGGAAAGCTTTGAGCACTGACGTACTTATCTACATACATACACATAGCCACACATATCTACATACATACAGTGACTCAAACAAATGACCATGTGTTGATTTTTTTTTAATTCGTAACGTTTTTCGAGTTAAATTTATTTCATCCAAAATTTAGGAAAATTTAAAAAATTTTCTTCAAAATTGCAACTTTATGAATCTTTAGAAAATTGTATAAGAAATTCATGCTTATATGGAAAAAAAGTGCAAAACCCCTTAACAAAAAAAAAAACTCAAAAATCAACGGAATTTTTTAGCCATTTGAAACTTGCACTTCCTAAGACTAAAATTATATGGGCTATAAAACCGTATACCCAAAAATGTGCTAAAGACTCGGATTAAAAATTTGAAATTTCGATGAAATTTTTTTTTAATTTTCCTAAAACTTGTATTAAGTTTGAAACTGTGATTTATATGGTTTTGGTTAAAGTTTAGACGGTATTTTTTATAGAAAAATAACAAAAAAAAAAAAAAATTACCTCGAAAAACAATATTTAAAACAATCATCACATGGTTATTTGTTGAAGTCACTGTATGCGTGAACCCACAAACTATCGCTTAGAAGCACGCTGTGATTCAATTAACCGAATGTGGCGGCGGCACTTGAAGCTTAATAAATGGCAAGTAAAGTGAAATAAATTGCTACAGCCGCCGCCGCCGCCACCGAAGCCACAAGCCAAATGAATGAAGACCACAAAGTGTGGCAAGAATAATTGTTTACAAATACAACTAACACTTGGTTGTGAGTTTTCTTTTTGTGTATACATATATTTTTTCTTCTAAACAACATACTATATATTTATTTGTAATTTGATGGTAATTTTTTTCATATTTTCTTCCAGTTGCTTTGCTTTTCCCTTGTAACCCATTTTTCTTTGAGCTCACTCTAACTATTGCCACATTGTTTAATGACAAACAAATTGCTCGAAACCATGCGCCCTGCTGCGCCACTTTAATTACGAGAGCCGCCAATTGTTATTGCTACAAAGGCGTTAAATGTTATCGTCGTTTGTCACTTGGTGACTTGGTTGACTGAGGCGAGATGCAGCTGTCGCGCTGCCTCTGCCACTGCAACGCTTGCAACTCGCACGTTCGCTTTGTTGTTGAAGTGAGTGTTAAGTTTCCTAAGTGAAGAAGATACATGCAATTATAGCTTCCTTAAAGCTAACAAAAATACGACGCAAAGTTAAAGTGGTGGCTTTTGAAGTGAGTGAAGAAAACGAACGCCGACAGCGAAGGTCTTCAGCGGTGGCTTAGAGTCAAATGAGCTTTTAAATGGGGTTTTAATGACTGTTTGTATTAGTGACATTTTTCCACTGTATGCACAAATGCAAAAACATATATACAAATATGGCACAGTAACCTATCGAACTTACCGAAGTTTTACTTTGAGGCTAAAAATCTTCAATTCAGTCTTGGAACTAAAATGTTTAATTTTTTTGTCTAAGTATGAGCTGAAATATTTTTATATTTGCTACACATCTCGAAATTCGCATCTTCCAATTATGACTTCGCATTTCGCACTTAAAGCACAAAAAAAAAACAATTAAAAAAAATCAAAGTTATCTAAAAACCCAAAACTGCGCTCAACAGTGACAAAGTAAAAATATTTGTATGCGTAGGCAGCAAAGCATGAATTAGAAACTTTTTATTTTAGCCTCGATTTGCTACGAATTTTTTGGAGCTTGTTAACGCTTTTTTGCGCGTAAGTAGCGCGCGACGAACGTAGAATGATACTTTTGTACATAGATGCTTCAAGAACTTCGAAATGAAAATTTACTAAGCCATAGCAAAAATAAACCGTAATAAAATAGATGAATACGTTAAATGCACGAAAACTAAAATTCAGTACATACATATATATATATATATATAAAAATAGCACGCGAGGGTAAATTGAAGTCAGTGATTTTTTAAATAAAAGATATATATATCTTAAGGCAAAGACCAGGGACCGTAACAGTTAAAACTTTTATTAAAAAAATCGCTCTTTAACAATTATTTCTTAACTTTTATTTAATTACTCCTTAAATAACCGTTATTTCTGACTCTTATTTTATAAATCCAAAATAACAATTATTTTTGATTTTTATCTAAATAATTGCCAATAACAGTTATTTTTGATTTTTAAATTATATGTCTCAGATAACAGTTATCGAAGACTTTTATTTATAAAGGTCACAAATAAAAATCAGTCACTGCATTTTGTACGAATGATTTAAAAAATAAAAGTCGGCGACTGATTTATACTGATGAGTTTTATAAATATAAGTCTTCAATAACTGTTTTCTAAGACATATAATATAAAAATCAAAATAATTGTTATTTTGGATTTATAATATAAAAATTGCAAACAATAGTTATTTTTTTAATTTTGCATAAAAATTGGAAATAAAAATTTATTTTCTCTGTGAAAAAAGAATTCGATTGGTATGTGTCACTTAGTTGTAGAACGTTTGCTTCATAGTGAATTCTTCCCATGACAGTTTCCATCAATAATGTTCAGTCCCTGGCAAAGACGCGTTTTACTTCTCAACATAGTCTCCTTTCAGCTCGATGCATTTAGTCTAGCGTCTTTCCAATTTTTTAATTTCGTCCAAATGACCTCTTTATTCAAGCCAAATCTCTTAACCCCAGGCATTTCTTTGGGTTTGGAAAAAGGACATAGTCGCTGGGAACTAGTCAAATTGATGGATTTTTTCTATGGTAACTACACACCTTGCATCCTTGCATTTTTTTTCATAGAACATCACTTTTTTCTTGACCAAATGTAGTAGTTTTTGCTTCGAATCAATATAAAATATGTCCAAAATCTCTCAAACGCCCTTTTCAAGGTAGTCGATGTGAATAACACCGCGTGTATCAAAAAAAAAAAACAAAACGGTGGGTATGACCTTATTTGCAGACAGACCCCTCTGGCATTCTTCTTGATTGTTCCTTGGCTGCTGGTGTCTTGTGGTAGATCCATCATCTGAACATCGCCAAACACTATTTATCAAGCCTTTTCTTGGTTTCGGTAATGGAAATTCACGAGGTTGTCTGCTTTCAATCGCTGTCAAACACATACTAAATGCAGCTTACACACTATTTACTGCGCGCGAAATTTAAAAAATCACTGACTTTACAAATTGCCCTCGTACATGTACAATAGAGAACGGTTCAATGATGAGTTAAGTAAACTAAAAATTACCGATTAAATTTCACGTCCTTAATTAAGAAGACCTTGCTAAAAATTCTTTAGCATATAAAATAACTGAAAAGTAATTAAAAAGTCTAAAAATGTTACAATGAAAAAACTATATAAAAAAGTTAGGTTAGGTAACAGGCTCGAGATGGGCTCACTTAGATAATATCATGGAACGGTAACTGCAATTAGCGGTGCGTGATAGTGCTAAGTCTCACGGCTTGGGTTATTAAATGATAAAAAAAAAGAATCGAGAGCAAGCGCTTGGCCAGCTGCAAAAGCCCCCATGTGCGCCCGCGATCAACCACCAGACAGTTTCATGCAGGGTTTTTTTCCCAGCGCCCGCTGAGGCCGCTATAAAAGTCAGTGTCCAGGGGCAGTCCGCAAGTTGACAAAGAAACTTCTATGCCCTCCCTGTCCGGGGAGACGTTCGTTAATTCGTAAGGATTGGAAAGTTTTCAGCGACCATTCCTTTTCCGCTCATATGTAGCTCCATTTCATCCCCATTGGATGAAGCACACGAATAGGATCTGTATCGCAGGAATCTTCGCTCAGCTCTTCCTAATGCTTCAGAAAAGAACTCGTGGATTTCTGAGGACTCGCTGGATGAGTTATCTGCGGTTGCTTTGGTTATACGTGCAGAGACACCCTTCATAAGAGTAAACCCTCTGGCGGATGTCGCAGCTGTACTTAACAGGACACGCAGGAGAAGATTGGCTTCTGATTGGGAGCTTTATAAAGTTAACCTTGGAATCTGTGTACAAGAAATTAGAAGAGCGAAAGGGAATTAGGAATCCGGCTCACTTGTGTTACCTAAGACACAAGCTAAAAGCTTCTCCGTAATGCCCATTTTGCTCGTAACCCTTCCATAGGAGAAACCTACAATGTATTTTATTTTTTTTGGAGCGCGGCAGAAGAAAATTGCAGCAAAAAAGTTGATTTTCCTTTTTGGACCACCCTAATTTGCATATATGCATTTATATGTATCACACGTTAAATATGTACATATATTTTTTATTAATTTTATTTTATTTTTATGATATTTACGAGCTTAAGCTTCGATACATTTCTTGTAAAATTTTCTCGTATACAAACAAACATGAAATGCATTGACCATCAACATTTGTGCCTTTTTGCCTGACTTGCTCATTGTTATTACACGCACATAGCAATGTTAGTTATGAGTGCCGGTGTGGTTGTTGCTACCAAATGTGGCACTGTTGTGGTTACTATATTTGTTAAATTATGCATGGGTCCAGCTAACTGCCGCCTGTTGGTCATTTCCTTATAGTCTATGTACGAAAATGAAAGCGCGGTAAATGAACAGTACAAATTTCTAAATTCGGCAAGCAAGTGATGATTGAAAGTGAATTTACGGTGTTTAAGGTGTACGGATATTGAGTACATGTTTGTAAAGGTTGAAAGCTAGTGGACTCATAAGTATATACATATGTGCATACATATTTAGAAGGTATTGTTTCAGTTGCAATAAATTGTTGCCAAGCAGTAGCCGAGAATTTACCAAAAATAAAGTCGTTTAAATGAATGAGCGAGCAACTGAAATATATGTTTATTTATGTATGTATGTATATGGTGTTTCCAGCTTTTTTTTTTAATTCTAAAAAATCAATCGAAATTTTTAGCCATTTGAAAGTTGTACTTTATTCTACTACTTAGAATTCAATGGGATACAAAACTGCAAATTTGTTGTATTTTATTTATTTTTTTTTAATTACATAAATTTTTAAAGCAGTGTCACTCGATTGGTACATTTGTACAGATTTGTGCATTTTTATATTGAAATAAAAAAAGTGGGATTTTTTTTCATAGTCAAAAGATTGGTACAATACAGCTATCTTCTATTGAAGAATTTCAGCAAATTATTTTTCGTAATTGGAATAAAGAAAAATACTTATTTGGGTATTCACACAATTGGGACACGATTTGCATTAAATTGCGACAAATACCCAATCGTGTGAACCTGCCGTTAAACTTGTATTTATACGGATGTTGTTAAAGAATCGACTATAAAAAAATAACCAAAATTAAATAACAACAAAAATAATATTTTAAAACTTGTCAAAATTTGATGCGGTTATAATTTTGTCGACTACTGTATATAAGTTGACTATGATTACTCGGCCGTGCTATCATAGTAGCACAATGCCACTAATATTTGACTTACAAACAAAATACGGGCAGGAATTTCAAAATTTCAACCCTGTCTGTGTGAAATATTTTATTTTTATCAGTATTTTCTTTTAATCAATCTATGTTGAAATTAAAGTGAAAAAATAATTTTTTTCTTTGAGTTTTAATATTTTTTTGCAGACGGTTTAGGCAAAAAAATAAAATTTTTAACGTCATTTTGCATTTCAGGTGACGATATGTATATACTTACATGAATGAATGTGCAAAAATGAAAATTTTGGAAAATCAAGGTTGAACATTTTTTGACGAGTTTAACCATACATTTATGCCATTGAAATTGTAAAATATGTGGTTTCCGTGTAGGCATGGTATTCTGGGTTTTGGTAAAACATAGACTATCCAAAGATTAATCAAGCCAATCGAATAACTCAAAACTGGAAAATGTGCACATTCATGGTTCTGGCATAAAGGTGACGAAATAACAGTGAATATTTATGTAGCAGTTATTGGTGCCGGTTTGCATTACAAACAAGTACATACATATATACATATGTATGTACACAGTTAGACCAACAAGCATAACACTGTGCATAGAAATGCCTAAAAGTATGCAACGTATTTTATATCTTCAAGAAGTGCACAAAGTAAACAACCACGCAGTATCTTTTAATATTAGCCAGCACTGTGTGGTGAATGCTGATAATACAAGGTGGCGCAAAAGTAACCTTGCGATGTTTTTTGGCTGTAATTAAAAAAAAAAAATGAAAAACTTTGATTCTTCTTGTGGATTATTTTTATTTGGTCTTTTAATTTTTTTTTGGTCAAATAAATAGTCAGCAATATTCCGCGTTCTGGAGCAGTGTAGCGTAACATTGTTTATTAACGTGTATTTCGCATGTGTTTACTACACAAATGTCAAAACAGAACTGACATTAGGGGCCAATCGCAAAATTTATAGCATTTTCTGATAGGAGGATTACTTTAGCGCCACCTTGTACAATGAATAAAATTAAAGGTGCACACACACAACAGGGAAGGCAGAGCATGTAGAATGCTATAGGGAATTTTTGTTTCTTTTAATAATTTCAAGGCATTTGAAGGACAAATATAATTACATACATAAATTAATTTTATATTATATTACTATTTTATTATTTTATACATACATAATATGTGTATATATATGTATGTATGTGTGTATGGTATATAAGTATTTTTTTGTCAGTTAATAACGCTGGTTTACAGCAAAAATGCTCTATGGATGTCACTACCCAATTCCTATGTAGAATTGCTTGGTGATTCCGAAAAGCGAGTTAATTTTTCTTTCTATGGATACGTTTTCCAGATATTTGCAATTTATCGTTATTCAGCTTAAAAAAGAGTGGTTCCACTTTATCATGTATATCTGAGGAACCAACGGAACAATCGTAATACGATTGCAAATGAAAGCCAATGCAATTTTCCATAAACCGTATTCACATCACTTTTCGATAGGCCTGATAGTTTCTGAGAAATTAATTAACAAAAAAATTTCAAAAAAAAAACCAGTCGTTATTTTTTATTATTTCCCTATTCAAGTTTGAATTTTTTCATAAAAAAAAAACAAAAAATCTAGAGTTATTAATTAATACAAATTCGTACAAGAAATCTAAACGTAAAAACAAAAGTATATGTTTGAACTTTTTAAAAAAGTTCATTGCGCACTATTTTCGGGTAAAAAAAAGAATCAAAACGTCTATTTTTAAAGGCAATTTAAAACGTCATGAATTCCACACCACTAAGTTTTAAAACACCATTACATTTACTTCGCTTGCATCTCTACTATTTATTCGATTTTGTCACCAAAAAGTTTATTTTCAACATTGCGCGTGGGCTTCAGCTGTCAATAATATTCCGCATATTCCTTTGGCGAAAAAGTCTAAAAAATCAACGGTAACTTTTAGCCAATTGAAACTTGCACATTATCAGACTAGAATTGAAGGGGCTAAAAAACTGTGTACTCAAAAAAAATCTAACACTTCCGAGAAAAAAGTTTGCAATTTAGATGAAAATTTGTTGCACTTTATTGTAGTTTTCTACAAATTATTAAACTTTGGTTTATATGAATTTTCTTAAAAAAAAATAAAAAAACATAAGTGGTACTGGTATGTTTGAAAAAATCATAATAGGGTGAAAATTTCTCAACTGGATCTCGGATTTCAGTCATGTTCGAATTTTTGGGTGAAAATTTGTGGGTAGAGAGGTTTATACATAGATGTGAAAGGGATTCTGAGAATTTTTTTGAAAAATTTTAATTTTTAAAGTTTTTATAAGCAAATATATTTCTAAGCAATCTTTTTTTTCAAAAGTCATTTTCTCTTAAAGTATTTGAAAAAAATTGATGATTTTTTTTGTAAGCGTAGTGACATTAGAGCTTTAAAAAAAATATTTTTATAATTTAGAAAAAAAATTTAAATTTAAACATTATAAATATTCAAGTTGCATTAAAAATATGTTCTCAATGAGTGTTTTCCATTTCGTTTATATTTTCGAAAACTGCATTATTGAAGAAAATATTTGCAAAAAAAAATTTGTTAGATCTTTTCTGTAATCGTACCTTGCTTTAAGGTAACAGTTCTTTAGTTTGAGATCGGTATACATGGAAAATTTCAACTAGCCGTATAAATGTCACACGCTTATGAACAAAGCAACAACTGCACTAAGAAAATTTCTTATACAGCAACGGAAATTTTATTACACAAGAAAAACAAGATAATAGCGTAAACAGAAGCTCATTACTGTTCACCGATTTGGGACACTTTTGCTTTCAGCAAAGAGTTGAACACAAAGAATGCAGAAAGAAAGAAAAAATATAAAAAACAATTGGAACAAAACTCTGCAAACGGGGGGCATATGTAAACACACAATGGCAGTAAATAAAGCGAACAACAGCACGCTTTGTAATGCATAAAACTGCGCACGCGTGCCATAGCATTTACAAGTATGTACCATCGCCCCACTTCCCACATAACACGCCAGCTATGATGTGGCTCGTGGCGGCTACTGTGTTTACTGAAAATGCTTTCAATACTTCTTTTTTGTTCCTGCAACAAGGAAGCGCTTTTAATGCTGTCGGGCTCGCAGCTGCAGCCTCTGTGGCTTCAGTTAGTTGCCGTTGCCACCATACAATGCATACAATGGTTGCCCATTATTCAACATTTCAGGGGCGACAACAATGCGTCGTTAGAGTGATATAGTTTCACATGACACCCGCCGACGACCAACGGTAGTGGTGAGTCTGTTGCAGACGGAACGAGTGAATGGGTGGCGCTGGCGCTTACAGCAACTACACCCTACTTCCCTCCTACACTTTTCAATATGTAACGTTTGGTGGCCTACCAAACCTAAATACAACAATGCAAGCGAATCGGTTACGTATGTAACGGGTGATTTTTTTGAGGTTAGGATTTTCATGCATTAGTATTTGACAGATCACGTGGGATTTCAGACATGGTGTCAAAGAGAAAGATGCTCAGTATGCTTTGACATTTCATCATGAACTGCCCATGCATCCCGAAAAATGCACTGTTTGGTGTGGTTTGTACGCTGGTGGAATCATTGGACCGTATTTTTTCAAAGATGCTGTTGGACGCAACGTTACGGTGAATGGCGATCGCTATCGTTCGATGCTAACAAACTTTTTGTTGCCAAAAATGGAAGAACTGAACTTGGTTGACATGTGGTTTCAACAA